CTCTTGATCCTCAAATCTTGCCCATTGACGAGAGATCTGATTAAATGGCTTGTAAACTGTACAGCTTTAATGACCGATGGATTTTAAACGTATCAGTAGCAGGGAATTTTTTGATTAAGGTAGATTTTCATTGAGAAATTAATCAAGATTCAATATTGAGTTCCAGTAAATTTCATTTTCATCGTTAAAATTCATAATATTACATTTATTGCATGTAATACACTTCTAATTTCGGGCTGCAGAGATCGGATAACACACAGATAGCATTTGCGTTTATATTAGGGGGTCATACGCAAATTGCAACAAATTTCAGCTGGAGTGTGGAAATCAGTCCCAAGAGATTCTTTATTTTTATTTTTATTTTCTACATTAAGAAGGAAAAAATAAAACAGATGAAGTTTTAGCAAACGATATTAGTAATAGTAGTAAAAAAGAGTACGTTTCAAGTCAAAACGAAAATACTGGGACAGGTCTTATTGTCCACTCTGGGACAATGTCTTGGTCTGGGACAAACAAATTGTCACCTCTGGAACAAAAATTGATTAATTTTAACGCGTGTTAAGCTTTCTCACGCTTAGCTAAACTTAAAATTGACAGTTTTTTTCATTGAATAAAAGAAACAAAATGATCAAAATTAAATGAAATTTATTCATTGGTATTAATTTTCTAGTCCAAGACTAAGAATTGACTATTTTTGTGAAATAGCCGCAAATGAAGGCATCTAAGACAAGAATTGATCAAACAAGATTTTGGAGATACTTGAGGTATAATAATATGAATATTTCCAATTGAAAATTTGTCCTCGAAATGACGCGTACAACCATCTATCAAAATATAGTTGTCGATATTCAAAAAGGCAGCAATGATGAACAAATTTACTACATAATCCATGAAAATGTTGAGCATGTTCCAACCAAGTAAGAAATATTTCAAAAGCCTGTTGATCAAAACCCAGTATAACTTCCGTTTCTGCAATGGACCATGGCTTATCAATTTTTCAAAATAAGGTATTCTAAGAATTAGTTTTTTACTAATGTGAAGCTTCATTGAGCGATTCACAATTGTAAGTTGGTCAAGTGTTTCAGTTTTGAATGAAGACATAATGTTGGTTGTTGGAATTGGAATCGGATGCTTCAGCTTAAAGGAGTTGTTTCTGCCGCAAGCTTTCTTCTTCTGTTGCCCAATTCACGTTTGCTTGGTTTGGCAGGATAGGATCATGAATGTTGTTAAAATGTTCAGGATGAGCAAGATTAACTGAACTGAGATTGTTTTAGACTCAATATACCGGCGTTTTTTTTCATTTAAGCCTTCTTGCAGGCATAACGGTTAGTGCTACGGACCTTAAACATGAACCATGAGCTCAGTCAAATTAATCAACCATAAATTCTAACGCTCAAGGTTATTCAAGGTCAATTCTTCCATTTGACCTCTAATTGACATTGGAATGTCATTTTTGAACCCCGAAAATTTTTCTGACCCGATAATGTTACATATTCATAGAGTATACCTCGCTAAAGGATATGTGTTATTTACATACCATCCAGTTAATCCAACTGTATTTAGAAAAAATGCATTGATCTTGCCAATGGTAAGAATTATGAAAACGTGACTAACATTATCGGGTCAGAAAAATTGCGGTTTCAAAAAATGACCTTTCAATGTCAATTAGAGGTCAAATAAAGAATTGACCTTGAATAACCTTGAGCGTTCGAAATTATGGTTGTTCAATCTGACTGAGCTCGTGGTTCAAGTCTGAGGTCCGTGCCACTAACCGTTCGTGAGTTATGCCTGCAAGAAGCCGTGAAATGAAAAAAGCCCAGTATTCTTCTTCAGTTACTTTTGTTTATGAGTTAAACCAAAAATTTGCTGTAATCTCATCGAGAGCCTAATATAACCCTTTTATCTTCCTTCTCGGAAAATCCCATGCCCCTAAGCTCTGCCACTTCTCGAGAAATTAACCATTGAACTTTTCTAGCATCATTTTCAATCACAATTTTTAAGTCTTTCTAGTTCAGACCAATTAATATCAATTATTATGTTAGAATATTTAGAAGGCGAAATTAAATAGAATAAATTGTTTAAAGTTTATTTTCTCATGGAACCATGAAAAAGAATTGAAATGAAAAATATTTACCAAATAATGGATTATAATTGATAACCTTTACCTTTCCAAGTAAAACGCATAAAGTCTTGAATCTTGTTTCACTCCAAGTTTCCATAAAGTAACTCATCATTATCAAGGGAATGAACAAGTTTTTAATGTGATGTTGATTCCAATGGCAATTTAAATAACAGTAAATGTTGAGCCAGTTGAACCATTTTATTTGCGGTAAAATTTCTTCCCCTTTCATGTTATAAATTACGTGGTTAAGAGAAGGGATAACAGAAGAAAGAGTGAAAAAAGCTTTCAAATTAAATTCCCTGTAGTACAAAATGAATAGTTAAATTTACCATGAAACTTTAGTTAACAATTTTTCCATTTAAATTATCAAGTTTCAGTGTTTACCAAAAGACAAGTCAATGAACAATACAAAGTAAAAGAGAAACAAAAAAAAATCTTTTCATGCTTCTATCGACTTGAATCAATGAATAAAAGTCTATAAATAGTTGATCACATTTAAATATCAATATTTGTCATTTGATTCCTTATCAATCCCGATCCATTCAATGAGCAATTCAATTTCAACCTTTTCAGTTTTCCTCGAGAAAATGTTTTTTCCATTCAATTGCAAAGTTAACAGTCAATTGTAATACATTGTTTCCATTCAAATAAACACTATTCATTATCCATTGAAACCTCTGCACTTCTAAGTCAACCCATTCCAGTCAACCTAAGCAAACATAAGCTGTAAGCAGTTCGCACCAGTTCAACACTTAATATCAATTGTTTGACCAATATTTTGTACCAAACTTGTTCACTCCATTCCCTTTGATCTAGGCTTTACCTGTAACATACTGAAACAAGGACAAAAATTCAATGAAGAATGATCTAGTTTTGTTGTTTGGAAAAGCGTAATAAGCCATTTTCATTGCATTTTCAGCATCAATTGTCTTGGATAACTTTCTGTCTGGATTTGTTTACCTGAATGATATTGTCTTTCGTAGCTTTTAGTCATCAATTCAAGAGCAATGCACACCATTGAAATCAGAATCAAATTTTGTACCTTTTCATGATTTTCAACAAAATCTAATTTCGAGGAAAGACCTTTATCCTTGCAAAAAGGTTTGTCAACTCGATTACTTTACTTTGCATTGTTTGTGCTTAAAAATTGATCTCACATCAAGTCTGTCAAACATAAGGGTTGCTTCAATTTTTCGGTCAAATATTTTCTTTGCTTCTCTCTTCAGACTCAAAGACTTGAGAAAATACAGGAATTCAGTGTATCAGGAATATTCAATATTGGATTTCATTTGTTGAAAGTCAAATTACAAGTCAGTTTCGATTGAAAAGCTGATCAAGTGTGATATTGATCTCCATGTGAATTTAGTCAAGATTGAACATTAACATTCTTTATTATTAAAAGGCGAAAAGACAATTGACCGAAATTCCAGTTTCATTTGAAATATGAAATGTTCATCTTGAAATTGCTTCCGATTATTGAGAAATAGTTCTTCTCATTTGTTTTCATTACATTTATACCAACATTATTGATTGGAAAGAATTGAGTTTCAGGTTGAAATTGATGATAAAAAAAGTTTCAGTGTTCATAACCATGAAATTGGCGGAGAAATAAAATGTTTTTCTTCAAATTTGATTTCTTTCCAATCAAAGGTAAACCAAAGTTGAGCTTATTAAAAAAGATCAAAATCAAAACCAGAAAACCCATTTTTAGTAACTTTTCCCATTTCAATTCACTGTGTGATGCAACAAAAAATATGCTTGTTAATATTGTCGACTGAAAGAGGATTTAAAATTCATAATTTTATTTGTTTTTTTCAATCAAAGTTGGAAAGTGATATTGATGAGTGACAAGTGTTATTTCAATATCAATGCTTTGGTCAATGATTTGGTCAGTAAAAGATGATATGGAAGAATGAAAATGTTGGTTGAAACACATTTTACAAAATGATACAGAGTTTCATTTTCTTGTAAATTTTCTCTTATTCCTGAACATTACTCAACATTGATTTACTGTTGAACACTTTTCGATATTTCATCATTAAATTTAACGCCAAGAAAAGTGATACAACTTTTCTGAATAATGTATGAAAGTCGGAAATTCCGGATTTCTACAGAACATTTTCCATCAAATTTCACATCAAGTAACTTTTCAAGAAAAGGATAAATTCTGACAGTTGTTTTGCTATCACATGCATTGGCCAAAGTTGTAAATCATTTCTTTTGTTGTTCAGCTCAATAAGGAATGGAAAACATTGAGAACTTTTTTGTATCGACTTACAGAACTTTCGAGTTTGTCTTTTGAAAAATAAATGAAAAAAGTTTAGTCGAAGTCAATTTACTAACATTTCTTTGACTTCTATTTAGACTAAAGTTTAGCTCTTTGACTTTAAGATTCAATTAAACTTTACCTTTTCATTGAGAAATTGACCTTTTCGAATTTTTTGGCAAAAAATTTCTCTCGACTCATTTTCAACTTTGCTATTCACCATCATCATCACCACTTGATAATGAATCACTTGGCAACTCTTTATTTCCCTGAACAATGTTTCCACTTTGATGTTCTGATTGTGAAACGGAAGTGAAGCTTGGATGAAGCTCTTCCTTTTCCATTGAAGATAAAAAGATGAAACAATAATTCATAGATTGTACGGTAATGAACCGGAAGAAACTCATTTAATACCAAACAAAATCATTTACAGTTATCAATGAATCAAGGTTTATCATGCCATTCAATGGAATGAGCTCATTTCTTACCACTAAGTGGGCAAATGAGACGCCAAGTGAATCCATCAAAGGTTCACCCATTTTCATCTCAAGCAACATTCAAACGACTCATCAACTTGGACTATTAAATGACTTTGTCTTTTCCCTTCTCTAGATGAATGCAGTCTCAGGCCGTGTGGACCAGAGGCAGGCTGCTTAAACACAAACCAGGGCCATCAATGCATTTGTACCCACGACTTGCGTCCCGAAGACCCTATCTTAGGATGTGACCGAGGCAAACAAGGTGAGTCGAGTTGCATTCAAATCATCTAAGAGACAATTGAAATCGTTTATTTAATGAGACAATCTGTAAACTGTTTGAGAATTGTTTTTGACTCGCAAATTGTGAATGTCTTTTGAAAGTATTCAGTGAAAAATTGTGAGAAACCAATTCTGTTCTTGGCTCAATCTAAGCATGGTTAAGCTTCTTAAGCGCTTTTGGTTGGTGGATTAAACAAGTGAAAAAAGTGTCGATATTGATTTTGGTTGAGTGAATCTTTAAAGAAAGATAAATCTAGGGAAACTTGGAATGAAATAAATGGCTTTAATCGCCTGAATAATCATTGTTGCCATCTAATCATTTGATTATTTTGCATGAGAAAAAATCGTTTACAACTAATCACTTTTTCCAATCAACAGTTGAATGTGCAATTTTGATTGTTGCACAGATTAAATGGAGTTAAATGATTAATCTTTATATCAACAGATTTGTTCATTTGCTTACTCGGCAATTCTCAACTAATCTAATAGCTAAACCATAGTAACAGTCGAGATTAAGGATAAAACGGAATCAACTTATGAAAGGATCAAGTTGATTAAATTGTTAGTTAATAAAGAATGAAAATTTAATCCAATAGTCAATCTAATCAACCCTGAATAATGATGAATATTGAACATGAAAAATTATCGACTTGAGCTTTTGCCATAACAAGGATTGGAGCACAAAAAACGTTGAATTTGATTAATGAAGCAAAAAACAAGTTAATTACTTTGAGTGAAAATTTTTCAAACATTGACTCGACAAAAAACAAGATGAATGGATAAAGTTCAATCTATCGATTCAATTGTATAGTAAAAGTTACTAAAAACTTGTCTTCTTTTCGTTACTCAATCGACTCTGATTCATTGAAACCAACAATGGAAGCAAACTAAATGTTAACAAAGATGCTTTAGATTTTGAAACTTCTGAATGCTGAATAGAGAAATTCAAGGAAACTGGATTCTTCGTATTGACTGATAAACAGTAAAAAAGGCTAATTTTGCTGACTTTACGTGAAGTTCAACTTATGGAATCAACTTGGGACTTTTATCAAAGAAATTGTTTTTCAGATCAAAATTATTTCTCTCAATTGTTGATTTTCAGATTTCATTCAGTTCAATAGTAAAGTTGAATCTTTTTCTTCTCTAGTTGCTTTGGACTAAACTTTGATGTATTACTAATGCAAGTGTCAATGGAGTGAACTTTTTTTGTTTATTCAGTGTGAGTTTGATAAATTGTTGTAATAATATTTGTTGTCAAAATTGAAATTTAATTTCATCCAGGAAGCAATAGTAAATAACATTTGTAACAAGTTCATGATTGATGCTAATTCAAGTTGAATTGTTTTTTAATGAGATGAAGGTTGATGAAATATTGGCCTAATTGTGTAACTGTCAAAATAAATATTCATTGTTATAATGGAAGGTTGAATTGCAATGGTTTTGTATCAACTTGTTTTGATTTAAGCAATTATAAAGGGTGTTCAATATAATTTGTTCCAAACTGGTGGAGCTTAAATGAAGATAATCACAATCAAGACATGATAACCAGAGTAATATTTTACCTTTCATCCTTTACCTCTGTTATTGTGATGTTACACAAGTTATCTTTCTTATCATATTTTGATTGTGATTATCATAATTTAAGCTCCACCAGTTTGAAACGAATTATATTGAACACCCTTTAGTTAATCAGTCAATTGCTAATTGACTTTTTGAAGCGTTTCAAAGTTTTTGCCCTTCTTATGAAAGCAATTTGTAAACGGTCTAGACATTAATAGAAATGTATTTCAATAAACTCAGTCAACTCGACAAGGTTAATGATGTTGCCTTAAGTCAACTTTTAATTGGTAAAATATGTAATAAAGGGTGTAACATCACAATAACAGAGGTAAAGGATGAAAGGTAAAATATTACTCTGGTCTTGATATGAAGAAGACAAGGTAAAAAGCTATTATCTTAATCAACTTTAAAAGACACTTGAGTTTACCTTTTGCTGCCTTCTTGGCTGAATATTGATACTGTTAATTACATTGAACAGACGGACGGTTAATGACGTTTCAAATCTTGATCACTACTCTTAAACTCATTTTTCTTGATGTGCCGTTTTTCATCTCTTAACCTCTTCTAAATGACACTAGCAGAGGTAAGAAGAAAAAAAATGGAGCGAATAAGAATGTAATAATAAGGATGCTTCTTCATCCTCATCTTCATCATCAGGAGCTTG